ACTAAGCTGTTGAATTCCTCCAAAAATTCACTAACTTAGTGAACACATTTTTTTCATTTATTCGTTATTATTATTATTATTATTATTATTGTAATGAGGAAAGAGAGCTTAGAAAATTTGATACTCACCGAACACATTGAAGGCAAGAGGGAAAAAAAAACAAAAACAAAGCATAACCTACTTAGTGAGCTTAAGTCAATGGATGGCGGAACAAGGTTTAGGAGTAACAGAAATTGACAATATTTAAAATTTGAATATCTGATTAAATAGATGTCCCAACAAACGAAATTAAATAGGCTTCATGTTGAGCAAGGAAAGATTTATTTATCAAAATTTGAACAATATATTCAAAGGGATGTAGATTTTATAAGCGATTTCGCAGATGTTCAATATGCGCACCACCTGTGATACGACGCACGTCAAGTTGGTTGTCCAACTCCTGCCGCGTCACCGGTTCTTGAGATATTCAAAATATCTGGACACGTTCCGGACAGCCTTTTGCATTAATCTATAGAAGCGAAAATGTCCTTTATGAAATTGGAGGTATATGCACATAGACAGAATATTTGTGTCTAAGGATAGTATATACTAAAGTAACATTTATCATTACTATTTATATCGGAAGATATTAATTTGTTTGGTGTGATAAATACAAATCACTAATCTAATTTGAATGTACGCTTAATTAGAAATCTGTGTTCGATGTTCCAGAACACGGGGAAACACAATATTTAATCAATAGAAATCTTGAATAAAAGTAATATTGAAAAGAGAATAGAATTCTCAGGAGGATTATATACTCTCTCTCTCTCTCTTTCACTCACTCTCTCTCTCTCACTTATCTCTCTTTCTCTCTCTCTCTCTCTTTCACTCACTCTCTCTCACTTATCTCTCTTTCTCTCTCTCTCTCTCTCTCATATATATATATATATATATATATATATAAGATGTCTCATCAAAATGTGTCGGGATTTGTAAAAAAAAAATAAAGAAAAGAAAAGGAAAAACTACAAAACATATCAATTCGGCATTTAATCTCCTTCGAAGTACTCTCCATCTGAAGGGCTTGTTAATTTTAACGCCACCCAAACAATACTGTTCTCTATTAATCGTCTGATAGAACCATTTCTGCCTTATGGCTGATGCTAACCTTGTGACTTGTTGCGCCTTCTCGGGCTAACGTTTTTCCACAGACATGAAGTGGAAAGATTTTATTGAATCAATAGTTAGGTTTGATGCTTTGAAAGGTTGATTCACAAACTATTGCGAATAATTTTTCCTGCCAGAATCCATCTTACGTATCTACGAGTCTACCATTCGTCCATGCTTAGAATATTGCTGCCACAAATGGTCTGGCGATCCTGCTATATATTTAGAGATCCTTGATAAAATACAAAGAAGAATCTGTAATGTTATTGGTCCTGACCTGACATCTCGGCTTCAGTCACTTGCCACCGCCGTAATGTAGCTTCCCTATATCATTTCTACAAATACTTTCATGGCAAATGTTCTGATGCCCTACTGTTTGTAACCTAGACTTTAGGAATTTAAGCGCATTACTAGATTGGCGTTAAGGTCTCATTATTTAACAGTCGAAGTGGTTAGATGCAACCGTTAGTTTTATGCTAATAGTTTCTTTTATCGTACATCTTATTTGTGGAATTCTCTTTCAGGTTCAGGTTCTTGCTTCCAGGTAAACTCCAGATCAATGGGGATGTAGTTTATCAACTCACCCAGGACCTGGGTAAGGGGATAAACTACACCTGCTTCCTGGGTAAGACTATAAACTACATCCAACAGCAAGACCTTTGGTCGGGAGGTTTTGAGAAGCATGGAACCACCTCTTAATTGCTGGTGTTACCAGCTCCACCCTGATCCGGGGTTGTAACACATTGTCAGGGTCCCAGCTATGGGCAAATAGTTAACCCCTACAAAAGGGATCAAAATACTATAAAAGTAGAGAAATAAGTTTTAATACCAAAAACTTTTTTAGAAAAATTATTAACAGCGGTACTTTTTTGAAAGAAAATATTACCAGCAATATATTTTTGAAAAAATATATTACCAGCAATACATTTTTGGAAAAATATATAAAGCAATTGATTTGACTCTGGAAACGAACCCTCTTTACAAAAAATATATCAATGAAAACGGATCTATAAACTGATTTCTTACAGAGAATGCATAGCCTATTCATACTTGTCGGAATAAAATAATCCATTGAGGTTGATATGACGAAAACCAAAACAAACCAAACCAGTCAACTTTGATCTTCAATAATTTAAATGCAATATCAATCGTTATCTTCTGTCATCTTAATTCCTTTTCTTTTATTATTCTCACGCCCTAATAATTTTTTTCTTGTAATCTTTCACACTCAGTAACCTCCTACGTTTTAGTTGTTAGCTTGCTTTGCTTAGGGTAAAATGATTAAAAATATTTTTTTTCTGGGATTCAGAATTTATTGTTTTATGGTAATTTTCTTGTAATTTCTGGTTAT